AATGACAAGTTGATATATTGCGTAGACTATGATGACAAATAAGACTGTATTTTGGCCGGAGCTAAAATTCCGGCCAAATTGAGTCACATGGTCCTCACGTGCAGGCCGACATGGCTGCCAATGTGGTGGTACTTGAGATCATTCAAATTGCTGAAAGAGGTTTTGAACATTAGAGCTCAAAAGTTAGGGTTTAAATTGAGAATTTTTACTCCTAGCGTTAAATTTACTAGAGCAACTGAAATTGAAGATTGATTCTTTATCATCAAGCTCTTGCACAAGGTTAGACTCAAGTATGCATATGGGAAGAAGCAAACTAAGGGCTTAATGGGATAAAAAACCTAATTTACACAAATTAACTACATTGTAGCAAAATCAAGATTTTGAATCCATTAATCATCCTTACTAACCATCGCGCCTTAGTGTGGATAGAAAAAACCAAGCTTTAGAGGTCTGTGACTTTATGCACAAGGGGAATTTCTGTAATTTGTCAAAGACATGCCCTCTCCCTCCCATAAACAGAGAAAAAGAGCGAAAATAGAGAATATTTGGGGGTTTGGTGTTGGGTTGTTTTTGTGAAGGGTGGTGGGGTGTGTCCGTGTGTGTTATTTGGGGTTTTTTCTTTCACAATTGTTACCCTACCACTTAAGGAGTCATGTGATTCAATTTGACCGGAATACTGCCAAAATAGAGGCCAATTTGTAAGTCGTGCTGCACACAATATAACAAACTATCACATTCAGAGTAAGAAAAGATACCAATCTGTTACGTATGATTAACAAAATATACCAAGAGGAGTGATAGGGGCATACCCCCAACCACAATTCTAACCAAACCTCATCTCTCTCTATAGTGTATTGGGACCCACATGAAATTTTAAAAAACAATTTCATGTGGGTCCCAATGCACTATATAGAGAGAGTGATGGTGTGGTTGGGATTGTGGTTGGGGGTGTGCCCCTTAACATTTCTAATATACCAATCTTATAATTTTGATAATTCTTCACCGCTATAAAATTTGACACCTCACGGACTAAGTGCAGCTAATCAAGTGTGCACACGTGCAAGCTAGCGATTTCGATGTCTCATCCGTTGCCTTTTCTTATACGGCTGTGCTATTTGACTCGCGAGTTGGGCAACTCGCGCCCAACTCGCAGTCACTGACTAGGGGGGTGGGCCCCCACAAAGCTGTGGGGCCCACCCCCTAGTCAGTGACTGCGAGTTGGGCGCGAGTTGCCCAACTCGCGAGTCAAATAGCACAGCCGTATAAGAAAAGGCAACGGATGAGACATCGAAATCGCTAGCTTGCACGTGTGCACACTTGATTAGCTGCACTTAGTCCGTGAGGTGTCAAATTTTATAGCGGTGAAGAATTATCAAAATTATAAGATTGGTATATTAGAAATGTTAAGGGGCACACCCCCAACCACAATCCCAACCACACCATCACTCTCTCTATATAGTGCATTGGGACCCACATGAAATTGTTTTTTAAAATTTCATGTGGGTCCCAATACACTATAGAGAGAGATGAGGTTTGGTTAGAATTGTGGTTGGGGGTATGCCCCTATCACTCCTCTTGGTATATTTTGTTAATCATACGTAACAGATTGGTATCTTTTCTTACTCTGAATGTGATAGTTTGTTATATTGTGTGCAGCACGACTTACAAATTGGCCTCTATTTTGGCAGTATTCCGGTCAAATTGAATCACATGACTCCTTAAGTGGTAGGGTAACAATTGTGAAAGAAAAAACCCCAAATAACACACACGGACACACCCCACCACCCTTCACAAAAACAACCCAACACCAAACCCCCAAATATTCTCTATTTTCGCTCTTTTTCTCTGTTTATGGGAGGGAGAGGGCATGTCTTTGACAAATTACAGAAATTCCCCTTGTGCATAAAGTCACAGACCTCTAAAGCTTGGTTTTTTCTATCCACACTAAGGCGCGATGGTTAGTAAGGATGATTAATGGATTCAAAATCTTGATTTTGCTACAATGTAGTTAATTTGTGTAAATTAGGTTTTTTATCCCATTAAGCCCTTAGTTTGCTTCATTGGCTTCGCCCTACCTCAACAAACGCCGTGGCTTCTGAAGACCCAAACTTTGATGCGTACCCCAAAATTTGAAACTTTCATTATGACCCACAACGTGCAAGTGAGAACTCAGAGTCAATCTAGGCTAGGGTCTTGTTGGGAGAATGAAATAATTGGGTTGGTATAACGTTGACTCGTACACGCTCTCATTTAAAAAATTTAAAGGGTGTTAATTTCACGGAACCCCATGAACTTTTAGGGTTGTTGCACATATAAGGGCGCTCGTTTGGTTCACTCTTTTAGAGAGGGAAATGAGTTGAAAGTCTGCCAAAAGTATCAGTTTTGACAGATTTTCTTACAAAAACTCCTCTAAAAGAAGCGTTTTTGAAAAAAAAACTGTCAAAACTGACACTTTTGATAGGTTTTCCCCTTCCCCCTTATGCAAACAAACAACCCCTAATCCTTTTGAATTATGGAGAGTCTAAAAGAGCATCTCTAACAGCTTCCCTATTTTATTGGTATTGTCACTTTTGGAGAATTTTGGTTTTTTTTTTTTGGTTCAACAGATTCCCCATCTCATTCCCCAAAATAGGGATGAAGGAGAAAAAATGGGAGTCTTCCCCAAATCTGTAGCATTCTTTAAATTTTTTGGGAGAGCTTTGTCATAAATGTTTCATGTTCTTCAAGTCTCCGACTACTCAAAAAATGACTCAACACTATAAAATGATGGGTCAAAAAACAAAAAGTTCATGTCTAAATCTTTATTGTTAAAGTTAATGTCAAACATGTAGAATATTTTTATTATTTTAATAAATGTAAGATTCTTCAAAATAAGGAAGCTGTTGGAGTTGGAGCAAAAATAATTTGGAGAATATGACTTTTGCTTCTCCATTTCAAAGAATTTTTTGGGGGATCTGTTGGAGATGCTCTAACAAAATCTCCTTCAACTTTACCTTATCTAACACAACCCCCATTCACAAAATTTACAAATAAATAAAATACTTTTGAGTGAATTTTTTTTTTCAAAATTTATCACTTGTCATTTACGCGCAACTTGCTCCCTCCATAAACTTTGAGTTTTTTCTCTCAAGAAAATTTTAATTATTTATAAATTACATGCAGAGGGCTACGATAAGATAATGTAAAGTTTATGAAGGTTTTGTCAGAGACCACATAATTTAAGAGGGTCAAATGAGAGAAATAAAATTTATAAGGGCTATGTGCAACACCCCCAAAGTTTAGGGGTTCTTTGTGAAATTAACCCAAAAAAATCTCTCTAGATTTTGAAACCTCTATTTGTCCCCTATTTTGGAAGGGCTATGCCGCTATTTTGGACTCTCCACGCTAAGCACATGCTTTCCCCTTGACTCATCTAAAACCCAGCCCTATCACTGCCTAAAATACCCAATAAACAAGGAGAAAGCTTTTTAGCTATTAGTCCCTCAAATCTTCAATAATTCTGTACTCTCTTTGAAATTGCTCACAGACCCCTCAAAATCCTAAGGGGGTCTGGTAAATAAGCCCCTCACTTACCGAAACACCCCCCCACATCTTGTGTTCTCCCTAAAACCCACAAACGTCTCTGTGGTCACGAAAACATAAGTTGAGGGGTATTTTTGTACACTTCAGAACTCGAGGGACAGACACATCGGCGATTTCAAAGGTGCCTGGGGGCTAATATGAAATCGTCGAAGATTTGAGGGGGGTAAATCAGCACGTAGTACTTCTCCGTCTAAAATAATCCCACATTGGAAACGTTTCTGCTGTCTTTCTTCCCTTTGAATCCTCACTCGTTCACATTGTATTCAACGCTCTTTCCTCCGCTTGGACTCCCCCTGCTCTCCACCATTAAAATCCTCACCCTCGCAATAAATATTGCATCCATTGCTCCGTTGCCTTTCTCTACTTCTTCCTCCTCCTCTTCTTCTTCCTCAGTTCAGTTACAATGGAAGTCAGCTCCAGGAGGAGAGCAGAGCTCAGTAGGGAGAGGAGCACTAGCCCTGAGAGGACCAGGGTGTGGGCCGAGCCCAAACCGAGGCCCGTGGACCGAAAAGTTTCGGTTGTCTACTACCTTTCAAGAAATGGGCATCTTGAGCATCCTCATTTCATGGAGGTCTCTGTTGGCTTAGGTGAAGGGCTCTATCTTAGAGGTAAAATTTTGGGCTCACTTTTTTTTTTGTTGTTGTTCCTTTCAAGAGTTTGGTTGAATTTTGATGAGTTTTGTGGTGATTGATGGTTGTGGTTTGTTTGTCAGATGTGATCAAGCGTTTGAACTCTTTGAGAGGGAAGGGGATGGCTAATTTGTACTCTTGGTCTTCAAAGAGGTACATTTTTTCTAGATTTAGCCCAATTTTACTTAAATAAAACATAATAGACTAAAATAGTAGAGGAGTATAAATGTTGGTAATTAGTAGAGGAGAATGTACAACTCAGGAGTAAAAAGAACTAAAAAAGATAAAAAGCCATCAGTCACTTGATCTGTATGAGTGCCAAATCCAGCAACTAGGAGTTGGATCATGAATGCATTGCTTCTCACTTGCAAGCATAGTTGTAAAATAATGTAACATTTGAAAAACTGGCTTTTACGCTCACCTAAATAAGCCAGATTTGACCAAGAAAAAATGACTACTCTGTCCTTAACAATTTTTATAATTTTTTATCCTAAAAGCCACAAACATAGCTAAAAAGCTTCTAATAAGTAAGGCCCCCAAACACCCATATTATTTTTTTATGGATGAAAATGTTCTAGTAAACCTTGTCAATTGGCTCACACCCAAAGTAATTCGGGAAAAAAATAGTCAGTTTGGCAAACGGAGCGAAACTGGGCTAGGACCAGTCCTAACCCAGTTTTGTGCTAAACTAGTTTTGTTTGGACCAGACCCCCGGTCCAAAACAAAACTAGTTTACGACACTATTTGGGCACAAAAAGGGGCCAGCTCTAGCTCAGAATTTTGATAAACAAGAAATAACACAAAATTGGACCAGGTTCAGTCCTGGCCCAATTTTACGAAGTTGCCAAACACTACCTTAACACTGTATGTATCATATCTTCATCAATTATTGATATTTATTGTTCTCATTATGATTTTACCATCAATTGCTTATTTGTTGAATTATTATCTATGATTTCAGGAGCTATAAGAATGGATTTGTGTGGCATGATCTCATTGAAGACGATTTCATATACCCAGCTCATGGCAATGAGTACATCCTCAAAGGATCAGAGCTTCTCAAGTTAGATTCCTCTCAAGATGACACCCAAGAAGTTCGTTCTTCTAAATCCATTCAAGATGATTCGAATATCCCAATTCGAAGCAAAAACCGAACTCACTGGGGCTCATTTGATCTCTGTGAGTACAAGGTGAACAAGAACAAGATTACACTAGAGACATCAATTAAAAATACTGATGCATGGACACAAACAGAGGATAAGGGAGTGAAAGCTCAATCCAGTGTTATAAAAGAAGAAGAAGTGGAGGAAGAAGAAGAGGAGGAGAATGCGGTCACAGAGCTCAATAGGAATGAAATCTCTCCACCGTCTTCGTCTTCAAGCTCAGAAACATTGGAGGGATTAATCAAAGCCGATGGTACGGTTGCTCCAATTGGGGCGAATGGGAAGGATAAAGATGTGGGTAATTGTTCAAGGAGAAAGATAAAGACTCCTATGGCTTTGATGCAACTTATATCATGCGGTTCGATTTCGGTTAAGGACAAAGGGTTCTCATTGGTATCGCATTTTAAAGGAAGGATGCCGAGAGTAATGTCAGGTGAAGTGAAAGAGAGTGAGGGGTCAAAGAGGAGCAATTCTTTTTCGCCGGAGCTGGAGGAAAAGGAATATTTCAGTGGGAGCTTGATTGAGTTGAAGAAGAAGGCAAGCGGTGCTAATGGAGAGTTTTCGAGCTTGAGAAGGTCTTCTTCATGCAATGCTGAGAGGTAATTGTTTCATATATGTTCGTAAATTTATTGCTGCAGTTTTTCCATATTGGCTTACAAAGCGTTTATTATGTTCATCATCTGTACGAGTGCCTTTGGACTCGAGCCTCTAGATTATCCTTCGCTTTGGTTTTGAGTATACATCATATCAGAATGCTCTATATGCGCGAGTGTTTTGAACAGTCACGAAATTGTTGAAATGGAAAGTTGCAGACTACAACCGTCTCAGAATGAGCTCAGAACATCCTGCCTGCATCTAGGCGTGCAGGGCGTTTTGATATGATTTGTACTCTTGATCTATACTCGTTGTCGGATTACTGATATGATATATAGTGGCTGATAAGCGATGACTTGTGCAAACAGAGGCCTGAAAATGGAACTGGCAGAAAAGGAGATCGATGGCGTTAGGGCCAGATGCATACCAAGAAGACCCAAGGCTACTGCAGGCAAGAGAGAAGCCGACGTCGCCATAGGCAACAGCGTAAATGAGAGCAAGATCATAGATGAATCTCCAGAGAACAACTAAGATCTCCGCGATCTCTTGATAAACACGGCAATTGACATTGTGAAATGATAGTTAGAAAGAGTCTCTGATGTTAACGTTAAACTGTGAAAGCTGTTTGCGGTGAGAATTTGAGCAGCGATGTTTTGTGCAGAGCAAGTAATTCCTGTATTGGAACTTGCTCATGTCCCGTGTATTTTGTTCATGGCTGGTGTAGTTTGTTAACGTTTTACTCTTTTCAGATATTTTTCTTTTTCAAATTAGATGCTTATTTGAAATCCATAATTTGTGAAAGAATTTTATGTTCTATTCGTATATGCACGTAACACTTGCATACCAATTTACATTTATAACATATTAAAAAAAAATTATAATTAGTTTACTGAATTCGGGCCTCTGTATTATTATATATGTACTAGTTGCAACTAGATGATTTTACTTGTATCTACTAATGCTTTTTTGCTGTACTTTGATTTTTTTTTTTACTGCTTCTATTTTAGATTTAATATAATTCACCTTGCTTCTATTTCTACATGGAACGAAGTCAATTTAAACCCGAAGTGTTTGGGCTTGGACCGAGGCTGTCCCGTTATGAGGTTGGGTTTGGAATTGGCCTGTCTCTATGTGAAGTTGGGTTTCAGCTTGGACTTGGGCTTGGCCTGTCTCGTTGTGAAGTTGGCCCGTTTTCAAAATAAATAAATCAATAAATCAATCAATAAATAAGGTAAATTAATTAGTACGTTAGCATACCTTGCCTCCAAGCAACCAAAAATATGTATTCAATGCAACTGACCTCATATTTCATGCATCATACCTTGCCAAACTTTAGTAGATCCCTACCTTAATAACTTCAACTAAGTTCTCTACCTACTAGCTAGACCAATCACTTGAAACAAAACAATTAAAAATTGCTGAGGTCTTCGATCCCTTTGGTCATGTATTAGGCCTTGCTATGTAAGATTGTACGAGTAAAGAGGCTAATTATTTCATTAAGGCAGTTGACCTTACTAATTAAAACAAATAATCATCTGATCAATATCCTTGCATTATTTTGGCACATGTTACCAAGCAGACCAACATTCACATGAAGAAGGCATGTAATTAATTAATTAAGGAGTTGGTAGATGCTTGTGGAAGCTAAGCGTTAAGTTTATTTAAGCCGTGAAGTAAGCATATTAGCACATGAGAAGCGTATCGCCCGAATAAATAAACTTGATTAAATATCAGAAAACCCCACTTAGCTTTGGATGACTAACTCCTAAGCTAAGGGTTAGCAGAAATCCTCTTTCGCTTTTAAGATTTTATCAGGAAATCTCACTAGCAACATCAACCTCGATGTTTCTGATATTAATGAGCTATCCCTAGCTATTCATTTTATTTTAATCTTAAGCTTTTAATTGTTGCGCGCCGTGCGGAAGCGTGCTCGATAACCAAACGAGTCGGTGAGCGATGAGAGAAGAAAACCAAACCAAATAAGAGTGCAATTCACCAAAATACGACACAAATCAAACCAAACACAGATATTTACGTGGTTCGGCAATTGCCTACGTCCACGGGGAGAGGATGGAGAAATTTTACTATATGGAGGAGAAATACAACGGGTTACAACTCACAAAATCACTCAAATATAATACTAACCAAAGCTCTCAACTCCCTCATAATATCTCCCTCTCAAAGTGCTCAAAAGACTGCTAATTCTCTCCTTAAGAAACCCTAAAAAACGTGGTTTTATTTATAACAAAACACAATTCCAAACAGATTGAGATTCTAAAAACGAGTCTGCCACACCCTGGTGTGACACACACCACACCCCTGAAAAACAAGGCAGATTGGTGTGGCAGACACCACCAGATTGGGGTGGAGTCTGTCTTACTTATTTTTCACGTTTTTCTCAAATTCCTTCGCCGTTTTCACATTAATATGTACCACTATACTTGTCAAAACATTTGATTTTCTTGTTTAATGTTAGAAGAACAAAGAATTATCAAAATTGTTGTCAATGATCCATGTTAATTGGCTTTTAATTAAGTCAGATAAAGAAGCTTCTTGACAATTATGCAAGACTTTTGTATATGATGTGGACGGTGACTTTAAAATCCAGTCGAAGGTATATTTTAGATGCTAATGTTTCATTTATTATTGGACGGTTTTTCGAAGAGTATTTTTTTATATAAAAAATTATGTTTTAAGTATGTAACTGATCTTGAAGCGTTACCATCTTGAACTTATTTTTATAATTTTTTTTTTTTACAAACAAAGTTTAGTCGCCGCAAACAGGGACGAGTTTGAATAAAGTGGCAATTTCCTTGACTTACATTTGATGTAAGTCGGTAGTTATTTATGGGCGACTTGCTACTTAATCAAGGAGCTAAAAAATTAAGACTTTGGTTAAACTCATGCCATCTAATTAGACAAATAATTAGTGGCGTAGCCATAAATTCGAGCTTGAGGGGGCACTTCTATTTCTTATGTTAGAAAAATATAAGACTATTGTATTAATAATCACTTTTGATAATATTGTTGCGCGCAGCGGAAATTTCGGCAGCACTTCGGCAGCACAACAAGAGAGTCAGGTCGCAATAAGAAATACCTTAAGCAAAATATCTCAACCAAGTGAGATATCAGCTCTTCCTCTCATCAGTTCTAGGACTGACCTGTCGAGGGAACCTAAAAGCTATTACAAATCACACAAATAGCGAGACAATCAATTTTACATATGGTTCAGCAAATTGCCTACGTCCACGAGACAAGGAGGGGGAGATCTACTACTAGAGGGAGAGAATACAACTAGGGTTTACAATCACTCAGTCTAAACCCTCACATAATCTTTCAAACCTCTCACACAATCTCTCTACAAAGGATGCACAAAACTCCTTATAAAAAGCCGCTGCAATTTTTCTCCAAACACAGCCGCCAAGCCCTCTACCTGCACGCTGTCAAAAAGAACACAGCTCTCTGCTTTCGCGTTTCCTCCTGCAGCCGCAAAGGAAATCCTCATGCACCAAATAACTCCCTGCACTGCTCCTCTGTCGGCTTTTCCTGTTTGCACGAAGCCGCTGCCAACAAAACAAAAAAAAGCCAACCAATTTGCCTCCTTGCACACACAACCCTAGGAGCACTGCGTTTATTTATATGATTTTGGGATCGGGTGGGCCAGAGACCACGCGGAAACGAAATTGCCTCCGCTTGCAATCACATGTGTGGGACCTGCACACGTGGGTGGCCCCCAAGTCTTCACAATTCTTCACCTCGGTGAAATTTTTCCAAAACTGAACCGACACCAAAGCATCCAAATATCCCACTTGTTGTGTCCAGTACGCCGTGAAGTTAATTCACGACAACGGACTCAATCCACAACAAGTCAGGAACCCGAACGAAAGTCCAAACAATCTCACCCCCATCAAAATCAACTAATCCAAAACCGGCTGAATCAAACATGACTGCCTACGTATCCTCTTGCCCAAGGAATCAAGCCGAACGTAGTTTACCTAAATGGCCGCCAACGGCCTCAACAATTACAAATGTGCAACAAGTTTCGACAATGATCAAACTTATTGCTCGGAACCACCTTAGTGAGCATATCCGTCGGATTATCCTTCGTGTGGACATTCACAAGTTCCACATCACCATCTTCAAGAACATCCCGAACGAAGTGATAACGAACGTCAATGTGCTTCGTCCGCGTATGAAAAACCTGATTCTTCGCCAAATAGATAGCACTCATGCTATCGCAATGAATGGTGACGGACCTCTGTGATATACTAAGTTCCTCCAAAAGTCCTCGAAGCCAAATAGCCTCCTTCACAGCCCCCGTAACTGCCATATACTCTGCCTCCGTCGTAGATAAAGCCACCGTCGACTGTAAGGTGCATCTCCAACACACCGGCACACGGGTCAAAGTAAACACATACTCCGTAGTAGACCGGCGCTTATCCAAATCCCCGGCATAATCCGAATTAACATAACCAATGTATAGTTGCTCTCCTATAGTGTCCCGCTCATAAACCAAACCAACATTGAGCGTACCTCGAATGTACCTCAAAATCCATTTCACGGCGTCCTAATGACCCACTCCTGGATCGTGCATGTATCTCAAAACCATGCTCACCGCCTGTGATAAGTCCGGTCTCGTACATACCATCACGTACATCAAGCTCCCAACCGCACTCGCATATGGAGTCTTCGACATTAACTCTCGATCTTCAACTGACTTCGGTGAAAGACCAGCTGAAAGCTTTAAATGGGCTCCCAAAGGTACACTAACTGGCTTCGTATCCATGCTAACATGGAATCGCTGTAGAACCTTCTTCAAATAAGCCACCTGTGTCAAACAAATTCTGCCCTTCTTCTTGTCTCTGCCGATCTCCATTCCCAAAATGCGTTTGGTCTCACCCAAGTCCTTCATCTCAAACTTATTTGAAAGCTGAACTTTCAACTCATCTATAGCCGACCTGGAAGTAGAGGCAACCAACATGTCATCGATATAAAGTAACAAATAGATGTACGTACCTCCTTTCAACTTACGAAAATATATGCAATGATCAAACTGGCTCCGAGTGTACGAATGACCAATCATAAAACCATCGAATCGCCTATACCACTGTCGAGGAGACTGCTTCAAACCGTATAGCGATTTCTTCAATCTGCAAACCAATTTTTCCTTCCCTACAGCTCGGAATCCCAATGACTGAGTCATATATATTTCTTCATTAAGATCACTATGAAGAAATGCCGTATTCACATCCAACTGATCTAACTCCAAACCATACCGTGCCACCAAAGCTAGCAAAATCCGAATCGAAGAATGCTTCACCACTGGAGAGAAAACCTCATTATAGTCAATACCTTCCTCCTGTGCATAGCCCTTCATAACCAACCTAGCTTTGAGCCTCAATGGAGTGCCCTCAATGCCCTCCTTCTTCGTGTATACCCACTTGCAACCAATTACCTTCCGTCCATTTGGAAGCTCAACAAGCTCCCATGTATCGTTCTTATGAATATATTACATCTCCTCCTGCATAGGCACCTGCCACGAATCAGCCTTCGAACTCTGCTCTGCCTCTCTGAATGTAGTAGGCACCAACTCATCGATACTCTCCACCGAAAGTGCATACACAACTGTGTCGGCATACCGTGCTGGCATCTGTATGTTTATCCTCTGTCTCTGAACCGCAATCGAATCCTGAACCTGAGCCGTCGGTCCCTGATCCTGCACATCAGTACTCGTATCCCCCGTGTCAGCGTCATGCTCGCCTGACGTCACCTCAGTCGGCACTCTA